GTTTGTGTTTCATTTTGTTGGTAATTTTTAATTTTTTGTTTTTTATCGTTTCTTCGTGTTTTTCCTATTTTTTATATTCATAAATTCAGATTTCTCATATCAGGTGTTTGTACATTAAATATATATATGACTTTTTTATTTTAAACAAGTAACAGAGAGAAGTAAAAAAATTTAAATAAATGACAAAAAACAAATTTAAACTATAAACAACATGATGCAACAAAAAGTAACACGATGCCACAAAAAGCAACACATTTTATATTCATAAAACGAAATTTGTCATTTCAAGTGATTGTACATAAATTTATATATGACTTTGTTATTCTAAATAAGTAGTAAAGAGAAGTAAAAATTTAACTTAATGATAGGTAGCAAATTTAAAACTATAAGCAACAATAAACACAACACGCAACAAAAAACAACACGATGCAACAAAAGGCAACACAATGCAACAAAAAGCAACACATACAATACAACAAGAAGCAACAAATATAACATATATAACTTTCACAATAAAGATATTATTTAGATTGCTTCTTATCATTTATAACATCTTAACACATGGTTCTTGTGATTTGGTTCTCCTGTCTTGTTTTTCTCATCAATCTTCTCCTTCTCATTATCACCTTGATGCGGTACTTTTTCTTTTACATGCATGCATTAAAAATACAATCACTACGACACAAATATGATAACAAAATAAGAAATTGTAGCATACCAATGTTACAAAATACTTTGTCACCTTCATTAGTTTGGATGTGATCATCTCCTCATGTTGTGTTATCGGTATCTTCAATGATGCCTTGTGTGAGGTGATGTGACATTTGAGTCATATAATATCTACAACAAAAAGCAATCTGATAATATCATCATAATTCACAACCGTGTAACACACTACAGAAATTACTTTTTATGTTGATTCTCATGACATTGAAGAAGAACAAACAACCGCTTGAACGACAAATGTATTATACTCGTAAGTCGTAATATATTATAACAGTGATCAACATAAAAAAAATACTTTATGTATTATTACGCCAATGAGAAATCATCAATAGCAAGTTACTTTCATTCATCCCACATATATTTTTGCAAGTAGATTATCTCATAAGCAACGGGAATCCCCACTTTGAGAGCTATGTACCTACCAGCAAAGCAAACTCCGAATTGAAAGGGTTGCTACACTTGTTTTTGGGTGTTGGGATTGCAAGCTTGTACAATTCAACAATAGTATCAAAGCATGAAATTTCATCATCATATATGGAATCGAATCCCACATCTCCAGAGAGGAACCAGTCCCTTCTACAACCCACGAGCTCCTTCAGATCATACATATTGTGGATGCCACATCTCCTAACCTTTGCTGCTGCAGATCCAGCAAGGTAGATTAATGTTATGTACTTTGATGCATATTGTGGTCCGGCAATATTTGAGTATTACTTCTTGAAGAACCCATACAATGCAAACTTGCAGGCACACTGAGCACTGCACCCAAGAAGGGTAGGAACCCATCCACTTGAGAATACTTTGTGACTCCTTGCTCCTTGAGCAATACTCCAAAACCAGATGTGATATTCCTTTACTTTGCAAGGTGAATTTGCATATTACACCTGACAATACATCAGTAAAAGTATAACAGTGTGGTCATTGTTGGGGATATAAACTTTGACATTGGGACAATATAATGCAAATTCAAAGAATATCGGTTATTGATGATAGTAATCAAATGCTTAAATTTCACAAACCCAAAGGATAAATCATGATCACATTTACTCCTTTTGCCAATGACATTTTGGCAGGAACTCAAATTCATCCTATGCAAAACTTCTACGTAGTATTAGTTTCTAGATTTTTGCTAGGTTTTCTCCATGAACTTCTTAATACACCACTAAACATTTTTATCTTAATATTAAAGTTCTATTTGAATACTCAAACTGCATAGCACATTTGAAGGATAAACTGAAAATTGGTTTTAGAACCTATTGACACTGACATTGTAAATTAATTTTAAAAGCGTCTAAATAGAATCTCTGCGAAATCAAAATATATAAAAAAAAAGTTTATAATCAAGCAATCCAACCGTAAAACTCACTGGATCTGTTAGTGTTTGCCTCGAATTCCTCGTAGAGAGGATGCCGACGCCGGTGTGCTTCTTAATGAAGTTTTCGTCTGAAAAACTTTGCTTCCGTAGATCGAACTTCGGTCCTGTTTCCCCTTGTGAAGTCGCCGCCCTGGCACATGAAATTGGGGATCACGCGATGGAACGTGGAACACTTGAAGTGCAGTGGCTTGCTAGACTGCCTGATTCCTAGCTTTCTCTCCTGTGCAGATGGCATGGAAATTTCTCGGCCGTCCTTGGATTCATATCGCTGAAGAGCTCCATCACGACCCAGCCGGCCGGTTGGCCTCCAATTGTGTGTCGAAGAACACTTTTGGATCTGTCATGTCCGCTCTTTTGTTATGGAGTGTTTTTCTAAATCTATCGGAGATCAGGCGGAGTCGCGGAGATTAATTTTGAAATAAAAAGTAGGCCGGACGAATAAAATTGATAAGGAGAAAGTTTGAAATTGAAAAAAATTTAGGCTTGGGTCATAAACGATATATCAAGGGTGAAAGTGGTTGATGCGGGTAATTTCCACAAGTTCTTATTCAAAGAGTGAACATATTGGGTTTGAAGGAAACATTGTTCATTAAGTTTTTCTAGAATGTATCTGAAGGCTATTGAAAGGGAATACAATTTGCTTACATAACTTTCTTTATGCTTCTCCTCCTCCTCCTCCTCCTCTTCTCCACCTTCTTGTCACGCCCCAGACCGCGTCTGTGCCACGTGGACAACCGTCATACAATCCAATAAGAATAACAGCAGTTCATCCTTACTGAATTGCACAAGACATCCGATAGATACATATGCCAAAACTGATTAGTAAACATACATAACAACATCAACATACAATTAAACACATAGCGGAATATAAGTGTTTAATAAGAACCCACACAAGGGTAAAACAAGAGCTCGCAGGCTCCATTAATTTATAAGTCAAAATAGTTCCATGAGCATTATTTAATTATTTAGAAATAGAACCAGAGGAAGCACGAACCACGTCTTCTCTCCATCGATCTCTCGAACAACGGGTGCAGGAAGTAAACTCTAGCTTCAACCTAAAAGGGTGGTTCCCCCGAGGGATCAGTACTACAGAAAAGTACTGGCGAGGGCAAACTGTATGTAATGTAACTAACGTTTCTCACGTGAGACCCTCAAAATAGGGTGATAATATAATTATGGGCATAAGTCTCAGCTACTCCTTTTCAAAACAAAATGTATACATATATATATATACATATGAGTAAAATATTTGGCCCGTGGGCCCATTTGTCTTTCAAATCATTTAGGCGTAACAGTCTCATTAAATTCACCCTTCCCATGTCTTACCCTCGAGTGGAGTCACCCGCAGGCTGACTCACCCGATATCAAAATATGATTACTGTGGGGGCCCTTCAGACTCCCATATCACGGACATGGTTTAAATCAATTCCTAGACCAAGGAAAATATCCTATCGGAAACTCATTCCCGATCAAGCACGTTTAATCATTTGAAATCATTGTCTTGAGGTTCACCTACCTCGAGGACCATCCGTCCTTACTATCATAGTTTTCATTTCCGGGTTAACCCCACCTTGAGGAGTACGCATACACCCTCATCCTATGTGTAATTTGATGGAGGTTAACACACCTCAAGGACTACACTTGCCTTTGTTACCTATGTGTAATTTGCTGGAGGATACCACACATCAAGGACTACACGGGCCCTTGTTACCTATATGCAATTTGATGGAGGTTAACACACCTCAAGGACTGCACTTGCCCTTGTTACCTATGTGTAATTTGATGGAGGTTAAACACACCTCAAGGACCACACTTGCCCTTGTTACCTATATGCACTTTGATGGAGGTTAACACACCTCAAGGACTGCATTTTCCCTTGTTACCTATATGCAATTTGATGGAGGTTAACACACCTCAAGGACTGCATTTGCTCTTGTTACCTATGTGTAATTTGCTGGAGGTTAACACACCTCAAGGACTACACGGGCCCTTGTTAACGTTTGAGTGTATAGGACTCCTCCTGGTCCTACAGAGTATTATATAACCTTACTTGGTCCCGGGTATTCACCCGCCATGTATAATCTACCACGTACCTCGCCCGGTCGTGGTCTATAATTTCTTTACTAACGACTAGTCCAAGTCTTAGCGTTTAAACCGTATTCCAAGCCTTATCATTTTAAACATCATATTTCATGTGATTCCATGCAAAATATTCATATATAGGATGACCAGAATTAATCCCACGTCGAATCGGGTCCGATTTGGGTTTTTAGCGAAAATCAGTATAGAAAGCCGAGACATAACCGGCGCCGGTTTACTGATTTTTCTTAGTAAACCGAACCATAACCGGCGCCGGTTTTGCCTATAACTGGCGCCGGTTACTCCCTGGGCAACCGGTCAACATTTTGGTCAACGCTCGTTTGACCATCCAAACGGGGTCCGATTTTCACGAAATTTTATACGCTTATGCAACAAGTCATTCTTAGGCCAGAAATATCATTTTGGACGTCCAAATCATCACACATAATTTATAATCATTTTCTGTCCAAATTAAAGCATATTAAGTATACTTATTAATACTATTAATAATCTTGTCACAATACATTCTTAGATGTATTTGATCATTCAATGTAATATCGTTCTACCTCTTTTGAGTGATCTCATGCCTAATCCCTAAGCATGACTCATGATCCTCTCTTAAAACCTTTTATTCATACCATTAATTATTAATCATTAATTATGTCATATTTCCATAAACCATAATTAATATGGCTAATCACAATATCACATATCTTTTTATATATTGCATTTACTAGATTAGTCTAGTTAGTCACATGCATAGTCCAAGTATATCTTCTTATACATTTAAGAAATATATACTCATGATTAATTAATAAATTAATCTATTTTTATTAATTATATAATACTTCCATAATCCATATTTAATATGGCTAATCACAACTTCACATATCTTTTCATATATTCATGTACTAGATTACTCTAGTTGGTTTCATGCATAATCCAAATATACTTCTTATATATTTGAGAAAAATATATTCATGATTAATTAATAAATTAATCTATTTTTTTTCATTAGCCACATATAATCACCATGACTAATCATGCATTTTAATACATTTAATCATTTCTCAAATCATGGTTATGATTTTATTTAGGTAATCCCACATTTCGAACCAAGAGTTACAAGACACGTAGTCATCCACTCATCTTGAAATGATGCTAGCAAGCTTTTATCTTCTTTGTTTGAACTCTGGCGACTTTTGAATTTTCTGGCGAAAACTCCGGCGGCTCCGGAGACTTTCCGGCCACTCCTAGGTTCCTTGAGAAGTATAGAATACCTTGGTAAAATTCCTAACAAGGTTTCACAACCAAAAGTGGTATAAACATCAAAACCTTCCGAGAAGGTGTTTTCCGTCGAACCGGTCCTACTCCGGTCATAACTCCGTTCATGGTTGAACTTAACCTTCCAAACCCTCATTTTACACTTCTAGAAGTGTAGAACAAGATTAAGAGTCTATCATATGATTTATAAAATCACATGAGATTAAATGAAGGAGGAAAAATACTAATGACGTTATTACCTTGATTTTCCAAGTTTTTCCTCACTTATACTAGCTTTTCTTCTTCCTTGAGTCTCCTCAAATCTTGAGCTCGGTTTTGGACATGGATATGAGATGTTGGAGGCTCTCTCTCTATTTTGGGTGGTATGGCCGAAGTGGGTAGCGGGAGGTGGAGGAGACCTTCCTATTTGGTCTTACATGTCATAATAATGGGAGGAGGGTCCCTTTACCTATCATGTGTGTCTCTCCCATCCCCTCACACATCACACACCTCACTCTCATAATCTCAGCACTTAGTTTTAGACTCAAAATTGTGGGGTGGCCCCCACTCATGTGGGAGGTCATCCCAATATGTCTCGAAGCGTACATTCGGCCCCGAAAGTTGTATTTTCTGGACTATTTTAATTATATTTTATTTTATTGGGTTAAGTAAAATATATATCATTCTTCCAATAAATATTGGCATCTAAAATGAATATATATTACCCAACTTAAATTTAGTGGTCCCCAGAATTTATTTCGGGCTGTTATATGATAAATTACCTATACCGATAATGGGACCTCGTTTGATCGAAAGGCCAACTTTATGGCTCAATATTAATTTACACCATCATATAAATATTATCTAAACCAAGATGAATATAATATGTGGTCCGTAAATGTCGGATGGTCGCCGCCCACGTGTGGGCCCAACATGCATTTTACTGTTTAAGTAATTAACAGTAAAAATGAGAACACGTCGCCTCGAAAGTTCATTCATTATTTCTCATGACTAAATATGTGGTTTCATATTTTGTGATACTTTAATAAAATGTTACACTTCTTTTAAGTGGTCTGATATGTATGAACAGATAAAATCTTATCTGTTTGCCCTCATACAAAAATATCTTCAAGGTAGGGTCCTCAAAAAGTACCCTCCTTTAATATACCAAATTAATCAATATTAATCATCCCATTATTCTTGGGTTCTTAAAATATAATATTTTAATGGGATGATTAATCAATATTAATCATCCCATTAAATTACCTATACTGATAATGGGACCTCGTTTGATCGAAAGGCCAACTTTATGGCTCAATATTAATTTACACCATCATATAAATATTATCTAAACCAAGATGAATATAATATGTGGTCCGTAAATGTCGGATGGTCGCCGCCCACGTGTGGGCCCAACATGCATTTTACTGTTTAAGTAATTAACAGTAAAAATGAGAACACGTCGCCTCGAAAGTTCATTCATTATTTCTCATGACTAAATATGTGGTTTCATATTTTGTGATACTTTAATAAAATGTTACACTTCTTTTAAGTGGTCTGATATGTATGAACAGATAAAATCTTATCTGTTTGCCCTCATACAAAAATATCTTCAAGGTAGGGTCCTCAAAAAGTACCCTCCTTTAATATACCAAATTAATCAATATTAATCATCCCATTATTCTTGGGTTCTTAAAATATTTATATTTCTTCTGTTATTAATTCGTAGCCTTCCGAATTATTATCAGTCCGATAATTAAAGATTCACAATTATCGGATAGTGACCCCGACCTGCTTGGCCGTCTAGTTGTCGTTCAGTCGTTCTTTATATCAGTGGGGTCCATGACACATTGATGTGCACTTTGTCGTGATGTGCACTCAAAATAATACAATACAACACTTATACGTAGTATAGCGTAGTAAGGTTCGTATCCGCAGGGAAAGGAATATTTCTCTTTTTATAACTAATAATAAGGGGTTTTTTAGATTTGTTGTTGAAGAACTTTTAAGAATATTAAAACACAAAGATGAACGAGTTATGTGGTTTAATTAATGAGAAGGAGACTTGGTTTTGCTTTTATCCACTTGATGAAATGTTCGTCGATCCCGGTTATATCTTTAACTATCTTCCTCTCGAATACTCAATCGAGGAGTATATCCAATTCATCGAGGGTAGTTATTAATAACGAGACGCGTTCATTAATAAAACTTACTACCGAGTTAATATAGAACACACGCCGTATATTCACTCGATAGTAGCAATAAAATCAAGATGAAAACGATTGAGATTGATAACCTCAACACAAGCGGTTTATTGGTTTAATCAATATAATTAATTCCCCTTGGTTTATTAACCATGAAACACATGCATTAATAACCCAAGTTTACTACCGTGAAAGGACCGAATTAATAACAAGCGTATTAATCGACCGATTCTAGTAATAATTAATATATGAAACAAGACTAGTTGATCCTTTAAGTAATGTTCAAAATATTAATATGAAATATGAATAGGAATTAATTAATACTCAAGGAAGAATATTAAAGAAGATGAATCCTACTACAGTTAATATCAAGATGTTAACTAATTGTCATCTTAGTAACACTCCCCAATATTAACATAGAGGAAGAAATAGCTATTACTATAACTAATGTCAAGATGTTAACTAATTGTCATCTTAGTAACACTCCCCAACATTGATACAGAAATAGTATTTAAAGGAATAATTAATATTCAAGGAAGAAGATTAAAGAGAATAACTCACAACTTACAAATTCATCAAGCTTCAAAGTAACAAAACCAAAATATGGGAGTTTAGCTCCTCATTTGGAGACTAAACATGCTATAAAAATATAAAGAAATATTATTCTAAACTGAGCTTAAGAGTATGGAAGAAGGGATTCTTTTTAGTGAAGGAAAAGTGTGCTATTTATAGGTGTTTTTCAACACCTTTGGCCGGGTACCCGACCGGGTAGAGTATCTATCCGACCGGGTACCGGTCCGAATCAAATATCTTCCACGTTCTAGTGTTCTTCAGCACGTTGGGTTGTCCTCGGTCAAGTCTCACCCGACCGGGTGAGGTATAGGGCCCGACCGGACCAAGCAATTTCCCGGAGATTGCAAATGTTAATTCAAACCCGACCGGGTGAAGGTTTCTACCCGACCAGGTTTATACTCCTGGGCAGCATTCTCCTTGTTTTTCTTCCTTTTCCTTGCCAACAATTCTATCAAAACTTCCTAACTCACAAATAAAAGCTAAAAATACTTACGAAATAAAAGTAAACAAATGTTTACAACTACTCACAAATGGTAAACAGTCCTCACAAAACAAAATATAAAAACACACATTTATGCACTACTAACTAGTGCATATCACACATCCATACTATCATAATAGTATCATTTTGGTAAACATTTATATTTTATAAATAAACTTAGAATATCACGAGTGGTTCCACGTCTAAATTAATAACCCTTTATTAATTTAAGACAAAATTTTACTTTCTCATTTATCAAAACTACTCTTAGTCTTGATTTACCTTCTTTAACTCAGTACTTGATGAAAAAAATTTCTCACAGTAAAATTCAGGTCCAGTGTTACACATCTCATATATCTTCTGTTTTTTCGTATTAAATCTTCTCAAGAAGTGTTTTTGATAATATAGTATTGTTCAATAGTTGAATTGTATCGAGAATAATCAAATAAAATCTTTATTGGATTTAGCTACATAGCTTTGATGGTTTGACTTTGATAGTTGTAGAGAATTAGAATTCATAAGATTTTTATTTCTGGGTTTCTTTCTAATCTTTCAACATTCCTGGTTCTAATACACTTCTCTTGAGGTTGAGTGAGGCTGATCGCATCACGTATGGCTGTATTTGAGATCTTTTGCACTGCCACATAACCTTACACCACTTAGAGATCGAATGGGGTACAATAGGGACAATCCACATTGATTTGGAGTAACATGCGTGAACTCCAAAATTAATCCAAATTATCTATGTAGTAATTCCACTTTTGAGATAGTGCAAACTATTAGATGACACATTTCTCTTCCTTAACCGTATTGGAAGAATACCTTCAAGAACTCTTCCTAAACACATTGTTATGTTAAGCATATAAAAGGAGGAATAAGCAAATATCATATTTATATAAAGCAAACTTAATTTGACCAACTATACAAATCAAGTTATGCAGCTAAAACGTCACTCTTCACTAATAATCTAGCATGTACGAAGTTATAGAAAGAAAGACCAGAGAGCCCAAAGCTTGGCATGTCTAGAAGTTTGGCATCTATGATTTCCCTCACCCAAAGCTATAGAAAGAAAGTCCAACTGTCCAAGAGAAACATGCTTTCATTTTAGTCCCCTTTTTCATATCTAATCTGTAACAAGTATTCCACACACATTTACTCTGTTTGCTTGAATTTTATGTTTATGATAAATGGATATATAAGTATACCTCTTAACACATGTTTACACTCCAATCAGTAAATGGCTGTCTTATAAATTTGTCATGTCATTTAAATTGACCTCCAATACTTGTGGGTCATTTAGTTTTATGTCTAATCAGTAACATGTATATATTCACACACACATTTAGTGAAATCATATGAAGGAATATATAGTACTCTGCTTTTGCTTGAGTTTTAGGCTTGGATTTGACCATTAATTGTTCGCCACTATACATTGTTTAAACTATGAATGAGAGTGTACATTAAAGCTAAGCCATCTAAGTACTATAGAATGTATAACAAAAGAGAGTTTTGCAGCACAAGGCTTTGTACTTGCACTGGAAACTCTTTTAATCTAATCAAACATAAATGCTCATTAGTATTTCTGTAATTATCTTTCTACTATATTTATTTCCATTCTCACATTTTGCCTTCAAGGTGTGTAGAAATAGAGGTATTTCAATTTATGCAGCTCTCTTTAAGATTCTAAATCTCTACTTCCAGATGAATATTGCTATGTTTTGCTATCACCTCATGAGATTCATTAGATGCAGGTCGGAGTGCATGTGACCCAACATTTTGCTATTTTAGAAACAAATATTCTCTCTTTTGTAATGGATTTCCATAACCCAAAAATTTTCAAATTAAATTTTTATTTTGAAGTTCGGTGCAAGTATCCATCGGTGCACGTGTTCATCCTACAATGTACTTAGAGTCCATGTCAGTATGTATCTGTTTAGTTTTACTTCTAATGATGTAAGATGCCAAAATCGGATATTAATGTAAAGTTCTTCATCAGTTGATAAGAGCATATAAGAGCATATCTAAGAGCATATCATAGCACTTATTTATATAAGAGCATATAAGTTGATAAAAATGAATTTGCAATTTTGATTTTATTTTATACACATATCTATTTGGACAATGAGAATGTTTTTAGTGCTCCATGCACATTGTCTAAGCATCTGCT